CGTCTATCATAATTCAAAAATTCAATTCCGCTGATAAGTATAAATTAACCAATAAAATTTAAGAAAAAAGTAAGGTAAAAATTATTAATAAAAGGCTAATTTTTATTGGAATTTTGATTTAAATATTTTATATTTTTTATTAAAAATTAATATTTTAATATTTTAAATACTATTGTTTCTTTATTAATACAGTATATAATTTGCTAAAGTAATGAAATCTTTAGTAAAAAATAATTTTAATTAGATAGGAGGGTTGAAATATCACTGAATTGTGAATTTATCATACTTGAGTTTTTTTAATAATATTAAAATCAATATTAACTTAGTCTTAATAAAAAAAAATGTTAAAAAATAACATTTTTTTTTACAATTAAATTAAACTTTTTAAACTTTTTTATGTATTTTCTGTAATAAAACTTCTTTATTTTTAGTGTTTTTTTCATTCTACATTTACTTTAAAAAATAACTTCAGTTTTTTATGAGAATTTCTGAATTGAAAATAGATTTACAGAGAAAAGTTTTAGACTTTTAATTTTATATATAAAGTTATATTAAATTTTGGATTTAAATTTAAATTATATACTATATATATTTTTTAAAGTTCTATTCTAATGATAAATAATGCAAATTTATACATATAAATAAACATTTACTAATAGGGTTTAAAATTTGAATGTACCCCCCTGTTTTGGAAATTTTTAGATAGTAAATTTGTCAATCATTTATGATCACGTTATGATCAGCAAATTTACTATTTAATAATTTCCAAAACAGGGGGGTGCGTTGCAATACACCTAAGGTTGCTTGCCTAAACCTCTCCAAAATTTTACGATTAGTTTCTCCAAGATTTTACTATAGTTTTATTATAGTTTCAGCAAAGTTTTGGCAGTTTCGGCATTTATAATAAGTTTTGTCAAGTTTCGCCTTTCTCCAGAGTTTTGCCAACTTTTTAATAAGACTTTCATATAGTTTTGGCAAAGTTTCGCTATTTCAGCATTTCACCAACTTGCCAAAACCCCCTAGTTTCTCCAGCAACCTTAAACGCACATGCGTAAAATTATTATTTCCTTACTAATAAATTACATTTAATTAGTTATTCTATTAAATATAAAAAAAGAAAATATAATTATTTAAAAAGGAATTACTTCTTTTTATTAAAGTAATATATTTATTTTTTTAGATTCTATCAAAAAGTATAGTTTTATTAATAGAATATGTAAATAAATTTTCTTTATATTTTATATATTATATAGTAATAGATTATTTATTATTATAAATGATTTGCAAAAAAAAATAAATAATAAATGTAAGAGCAGTAATATATATTAACTAATATTAGTTTTATAAGAAGTCTTATTCTTTTCCATCTTCATATAAGATTTTTTTTAACTAATAATATTTAATTATAAATATAATACTAGTTTTAACTAATAAAAATGTTTAATTTTGTATTATGTAAGATTTTTGTTTAACCTTTCTCTAAAATATTAGCTAATATATATTAATATATAATAAATATAATATTTTTATATATTAAAAATAGGGTATTGCTAAATATCACCAGTGGTGATCGTCAACACATATAAAATATTTTTTGAATTTCAAAAATTTTTGACTGAGATATTATTCTAATTATAATATAAAACATTATTGCTATATGTAAATTTATGGGTAGAACAAGTTTGCCTTAGATTATAAAGGCTGTTGTTTAGATAGTTTTTGAGAAAAATAGGAAAGTTTGATTTTATAAGCAAAATAAAATTTTTTGTTTTAAAAAAGATTTTTTTTAGTCAAATTTTCAAAATTTTAGTGTGATTAGTATCTACTCAGGTTTGTTTTACACATTTATTATTTAAATTGAAATTTTTGAAAAAAAATTTATGATGTGTTTTTTTAACTCTGGCCAAAATTATAATTTTCAGCCAGAATTAAGTGGTGTGGTGACGATCACCACTGGTGATATTTAGCAATACTCTTAAAAATATAGTAATATTAAAATTAAAATATTTATTATTATATTTATTTATTAAAAAATTATCTTATATTTAAAATACTTTTTATTTAATCATTACTAGTTTGTAAATATAAATTAATTATATATTATTAGATAATTAAATTAAGAATTTTTCTATCACCAGGTAATGATCACTGATAACTGAAATTATGATAATCAACCAGCATTAAAAAAAATATAGTGCCAGTAAAAATTGATATTTCTGGTTAGTGATGATCATCTCTGATGATTTGAAATAAAAAACTTAAATTAAATAATAGTTTAATAATAATAATATATAGAATATAGTACTGCATACATTAGTTTTTTAATAATATTATTATCAATTTGATATCATTTATGCAATTTTTATAATAAATACTCATTACTATCCAATAATTTTATTATTATACTAATACTATATAAAGTAATAAATCATAATTTTAGAATCTTATATAATAAAAAAAAATAATTAATTAAAAATTAAAATTTTTAATAATAAAATTTTATTAATTTAATTTTTAATAACTGATAATTAATTATAATATCATTACTTTGTATACTAATAAAATACTATGTTTAATATTAATACTTTGAATTATTAATATGTGTAAAGTTAAATTTTAGCTGAAAATGTGTAAATTGAACTTTATATAAAATTGTTAATAAAAATTCAATCTACATTTTTTATAAAAAAAAAATACACAAAAAGAAAAAAAAAAGTTATTTTTAAATTAGCAAAAAATTAACAAATAATAATTAATATAAATATATTTGTATAAATATATTTACTATAATGAATATAAGAATAAATGAATTTGAATTTTTGAAATTTTTGATTTATTTACTTCAATTTGAATAAGTTTTTCTTATAATTTGTAAATAGTAATAGAAGGTACAAATTAAAGAAGGAAAGGTACTTGAATTTGATTACTAATTGCGAAGAAAATTCAAACTTTAATTTGCGGTTTGACCGTATATATTATGTGTCAATTATATTCTTTATAATTTGTTCCAAAAACCCTTATCACATTGAAAAAAAAGCAGATGAGGCTTAAAAATTGATTCAACTATTATGGAAACAACCAAAAGACTTAATGGGCGTAACGCACGATTAAAGTTTACATACAAAAATTAAAATTCGTCCAATAAAAATGATAAACAGCACCATGTCTTTCTAACAAAACTTGTACAACAATATACGCCAATAGTGCCATAAAAACAAGACAAAGACGATTTCAAATGGGAAATGACCTGAGATGTGTTTAAAACACATGATTTACTAAGCCATGAAAAAGAGGGTCTTTTTACCCGATAAAGGATGTTTCTTATCTTTCTCAAGATGAGTCCCTAAATAATCATATTGCAATGATTATCATAAACACAACAAAAGATTGATATATGAGTTCAAATTTTGGGGACACCTACAGCAGAAACCTGGGGTTCGGCTAATTAAGAAAAATGAAATTTTTAAGTTAAATGATCAATTTGGTAAAAATTTGCAAGGAATTCATTAAAAAACATTAGTCATTTATAAGTTATAACATTCACAAAGAAAAATACAAAAATTACAAATTCTCAAATATAATAAAATAAAAAAAATAAAAAAATAAAAAAATAAAAAAATAAAAATATAATTTTTTTTTGGTCGAACCCCTTGTTATGCATAACAATAGTTAACATATGATTATATGGTTCTCATACAGGAAATGTTTTGCTTTGGGATTTCTGAAATTTCCAAAAAAATTCTACTATTAAGCCTAAATGCATAAACCGCTTTTGTTCATTAAATTTGGTAATATATTGTTTTAACTTTGAAATATTCGTCATATGTGTATATTATAAATATTATACAATAGAATATATTAAATATATTAAAAAATGCATACCAAATTCTCACTTTTGCTCCTTAAATTGCCGATCCTAAAAACAATTGGAAATTATTTTATTTTTTTTTTGTTTCCAAGAATTAATTCTTAATTCTTTTTTAAGATTTAATGATAATAATAAAAATAATTAAAATTGTTTGAATTACCTCTTAGTATAAAACTTTCAAAGCTGAAACAATACAATCAAAAATATCCCAAATATTACGACTTTTATCATAATCTGTTTTGCCAATCTATAGATTATTAATTCGCTGTGGTTTCATTACAGGTTTGAATCTTGTAAAGTTTATCTAAATAAAGCATTCTATTGTATTCTTTGCGCAGTTCATAGCGCGTACTATAATTATATACTATTTACTGTAACAATACATTTACGTTGTGACATGCTACATTACTACAAATTATTAGTATGTGAAATTGTACAAACTTTACGTTTGTAAAAAAAAATGATATGATTTTTTTTTTAAACTTTATTTACAAATCGGTTATTAAAATATGAAATCAACATATGAAAGAAATGCAACCAATTTTAAGCTTCACGTGCAATTATTATAATAGTGATAAATAATTGTGACAAGAAGAAATAAGAATTATAATAACTATATTAACGTTAATTGGTCAAAAATAACAAGAAGAAATAATAGAATGCGCGTTCTAAACGCGTTGATTATCTATAAATGAATGGTCGTAATAAAGTTAGTTTGTCATATAATTTTTTGATCATTTGACAGTACAAAATCTAATTATTATACTAATTTAGACAATTGTGAGAAATTTTTCATTGATAAATGAATATATTTAAACTTATTTGGATGATGTGGTTTCAATTCTTTGTTTTATTTTCTGTAATCAAATATTGTTAACCAATAAAGAAGCTTCAAGTAATTAATAACAATGATTACGCGTTCAAACTCCGATTTTTAATAGATAAGCCTCAGTGTCTTTTGTTTACGTTTATGGTAATTAATTGTAAACCTTAATATAAAAAATTTTTTATTTAATTGATAAACAAAAATGTCATACGTTACTGCTGATCTATCGATAAGAAAAATTTCTTTATAAATTTAATAATTCCTCATTCCCTTTTCTTTTTTAACAGATTTATATTTTATACCCATTTTTACTTAAACATGAGAAGGTACCAGAAAGTCGATAATAAAAAACATACGATTCGCGTACGCGTTACTTCCGCATGTAAGGAGTGTAGAAACAAAAAAACAAAGTGCGAATTCTCTAGGCCTTGCACACACTGCCGTGATCGTAATTGGAACTGCACCACAGAACTGCCAACAAAACGTGGTCCCCGTAAAAATTCAGCCAGCGTACGAAAAAAAAAGGAAATAGGAAAAGAAATAACTGAAGTTATTTCGAATGTGCCCGCTCTCGCTCCCGCCCCAGCTCTAGCCCCCGCTCCCGCTCCCGCTCCCTCCCCCTCCCATTCTCACTCCTCCCACTCCTCCTCGATTTGTGACAAGAATTCTTCCTCTTCTCCCTCCTCAGTCTCGCTGGTCTCTAGTTCTCTCTCTTTCTCTAATACTCCTGTCTGGAGTTCTTCGCCCTCCTCTGGCTCCAACTCGTCTCTTCCTTCTTCTCCAACGGAAGAGCATTCTTTTAATGTCAAGTCGGATGATTTGACTTTCTTTCTTGCACCAACAGCATTGATACAAAATGAAATGCCATCGGAGGTTTTCGGACGTGAACAGGAAAATATAGATAAACTTTTTACCGAATATATAAAATACGAGGATGTTTAATGAATAAAAAAAGAAAAAAAATAAACACTTGGACCATCCCGTAATCACCAAACACTGCGAACCCACCGCCAATCACCGCTAGTCACTGCCAACCTCTAATTATTCATAAATAAACTCTTTATTTATAAAAAAATTTTTTTAGTTTAAACTGTTAGAAAATAAATTATATATCGAATATTTTTTATATTTATTTTTAATTATAATTATAGTCGATAAAAAACTGTATTATATATGTAATTTTTTTATTTTTTTTTATTATGTTATGTTTTTTTTTTATGTTTTTATTATGATATGTTTTTTTTTTTATTAATAAATTTATCGTTAATTCTTAAGTTTAACCCCGAATATACCAACCTGGTATAGTTAAGTTCAATGTACTCACTAACAAAGACAAATTTAATTTGTTTATTCTTATCATGCATTAAAAAAGAGATTATTATTAAACTGGAAGAAATTTTGAAAATTTTTTTGAATACTAAACCGATATTATTAAAACCTTTGATATAAAGCATAAGCTGATCACCTAGAATTGAAAGAACCAGTTTTTCCTTATTCCAGTTAAAGTAACGAATTTTCAGAATGAAATATTAAATTAAATCAGAATGAAATCTTACTTTTTCATTCATGAAGTAATTCAAGATTATGTCATCATTGTATTTATTCATCCAAGTTATCATATCTAAAAGAAATGGGAAGAATTGTTAGATACTCCAAATTGAATTGTAATCTTTTTCCTGATTTTCTCACATTACAACATATTACTTCATCAAATTTAGTTCCCTTTATCCGTTCCAAATCACTTTACTAAATTATTGATTCTCTATTCCAAATTATTTCCAAAATACTTGTTACATTCACTTCCTTCCAAATTACTGAGCTTGAATTTCGATATAGCTGGTATAGTGGTATTACACATTTATATATGTTATGCACGAGTTGACAATATTATTTTTGATTTGTGAATCCACTCCCTTTCAAATTTAATTTCAATAAACTGAAGGTATTGATATTGCAGCATATGTTGATATATATTGATTATTCAAAATAACATCTATTCACAGGTTAAACAATCATTTTAATTTAAAATCTCGTCTAAGGTGAGTTTATCACATCTTTTTTCAATATTTTTTAAACAAAAAAAAATGAAATCATTGTTTTATTATTAAAGAAGAAGAATGAAATAAGATTGAATAAAAGTAATTTATATACGTCCCTTTCAAACTCTCTTACTATATGTAATTTAAAATCTTGTCTAAAGAAAGTGAAGCCAAAGTTATATACGTCCCTTTCAAATTACTCTCTTCTTGACATCACTGTAATTAATTGATTAGTGAAGTTCAAGTTACTCCTTTCTAAATTACTTGAGCTTAACTTTGACAAAGGTAATGATGTTGTGATAATGATGTGTTGACATATAGTTGATTATTTCACAAATATTATACATCTGCTGTAATATTTAAAATTTTTTCTAAAAAAAAAAGATTTTGAGCGATGAAATCGGAATTGTATTTGCACCCTTCCAAATTATTTGTTGATTCACTTTCTTTCAAATTACTTTTCCTTTCAAGAAATTATCTGTTGATTCACTTCTTTTCAAATTACTACTTTCTCTTTCAAATTATCTGTTGATTCACTTCCAAATTATTTTTTGATTCATATACTTTCCGTTCCAAATTACTTTATAAATTGTAGCTGATAGTATAACATCCTAATGGTGGATTCTCTTGCTTTTTTGGATAATAAATAATTGGAAAATCAAGATAATGTTCATTACTTCCATCATTTGTAATTAGTAATATGAAAAATCAAGATAATGTTCACCACTTTCCATCAAAATAAAGTGTAAGTTTATTTACAAAATTTTGATATTGATTTAAGTTAATTTTCTATTTTGTTATCTCTGTTTTCACCTTCAGATCAATTAATTATATAATCCACTCTTTAGGATAATGTCCACTACTTTCCATCAAAGTAAAGTGTAAAATTTATTTACAAAAGTTTGATATTGATTTAAGTTAATTTTCTATTTTGTTGTCTCAAAGATTGCTCCAGAAACTAAACTACAAATCGTCAGCAACTCTGAAAAATATTGAAGCAGATTCAACATCAACATCAACATCAACTAGTAATACAAATTCAAAAATTTCCATTACCATACTCAAATAGTCGGATTCCCCCAAACAGTACAGTCGAGTGGATAACATCATAATTTATATAATCTTCAAATTTTAATTCATCACACTTGTAATTGTACTAAATAATATGGGAAATTAAGATAATGTTCACCACTTTCCATTATTCGTAATATTCGTAATTGTACTAAATAATATGGGAAATCAAGATAATGTTCAACACTTTTCATTATTCGTAATTATGGGAAATTAAGATAATGTTTGTTCACCACTTTCCATTATTTGTGATTGTACTAATATGAGAAACGTTCACCACTTTCCATCATTTGTGATTGTACTAAATAGTAGTTCAAAAATTTTAATAAAATGTACAAATATAAATTAATCAGTACATAATATATTACTCTAGAGGAGAATTATTAAGTAGCTAAAGGAAATTTGACTAAAAATTCTACCCAATTCTATAAACGCGTAGAAAGATCAAAGTTCTTATCATAACTAGAACAATAACCTAATTCTATAAACGCGTTAGAAAGATCAAAATCCAGAACGATAACCTAATTCTATAAACGAGTTAGAAAGATAATTCTATAAACGCGTTAGAAAGATCAAAATCCAGAACGATAACCTAATTCTATAAATGCGTTAAAAAGATCAAAATCCAGAACGATAACCTAATTCTATAAACGCGTTAGAAAGATCAGAATCCAGAATAATAACCTAATTCTATAAACGCGTTAGAAAGATCAAAATCCAGAACGATAACCTAATTCTATAAACGCGTTAAGAAAGATCAAAATAACCTAATTCTATAAACGCCAGAACAAAAAACTTCTCCTCCTCTCTTTAAATACCTTTCAAGACATTCATCAACCCTACAATAAAAAATGGAACGTTAGTTCTTAGTTCCTGATGAAATAGAATATAAGCTAAATAACTTATAGTTACCTTATATTCCTATTCCCTATTCCCTATTCCGCATTCCCTAATCCCTAATCCCTAATCAGAATTTTTATCACCTGTTAGATCTTTTGTAACTTGATTCTCTTCATTAAATTTCATGTTTTTTGTTGACTCTTTATTTTCACTCAAAACCTCAAAAAGATTCTTGCCATTTTTTTCACCTCCTTCATTTTCACTCAAAACCTCAAAAAGATTATTGCCATTTTTTTCATCACCTTCTTCTTTAATAGAATTGTTTGTTGTTGACTCTTTATTTTCACTCAAAATTTCAAAAAGATTCTTGTTATTTTTTTCACCACCTTCTTCTTTAGTATTAGAAGAAAACATTTCTTCATAAACAAGTTGAAAACTAGGTTTTGAAGAGGGTCCAACATCACTATTAGAAGTTGTAGAATCACCACTAGTTTTTAATAAAGAACGAAGTCTAGTAAGAATTTCTTCTTGAGTCTTTTCATTATCTTTAACACGATTTGTAGCAGAATCAAAGAATAAAGAATTTTTTCCAGGATAATTATCAAATAAATTAAAATCATTTTGATAAGAAAGAATAGGAGAATGAGAAACTCTAATATTTGGACGACCTTGATCATCAAAATCCACTTTTTCAAGATAAAAATTATCCAATTTTTTACGATTAACTTGAATTAATCTTTGAGCTTTACCAAAATGTAAACTACAAACCAAACCACTTATACCAATAGCAAAAATTCCATTAGAATCTTTATTAAGTGTACGACCTTGTACTTTAAAATTAATACCAGGATTATTATGAGAATAATTTAAACCTTTAATAATTGAATTAGAAGATTTTTTAATAAAAGTTAAACCTAAAAATTCCAACCAATTATTTGAATTATAAGTTGAATTAATTAAAAGTTGATTCCAATCATATTTTTTTTTTTCAATTTTTTTTAATAATTTTTTAAAATCTTTTAATGATAATTTTGATATATTAATAAAATTTCTTTGATAAATATCATTTGATTTTAAAGGTTCAACAGTTTTTGATATTAAAAAATTTTCTTTCCATTTTCTTTTAAATCTAATTAAAGTTTCAGCACTATTATAAGGAGTTTGATGTTCTATAGTATCTATTTCATTTATTGTTACAACATTTGTACGTAAATAATTTGGTAAATTACGTTTTACGCCATAATCACCAAGTTTTTGATATTCTCCATAAGTTTTATAAACTTGTGATAATTTAGGATCAAA